ATGCTGTGCCCACCGGCTACTGTGGTCCTTCCATGGTGGCCACGTGCCCACGGTTGGCACCCACCATTCAGTGGGTGAGATGTCACAGGGGAAAGCAGTGGGGACAGGGGGTGTGAATTTTTAGGGGAAAAAAAAATCCCAGTAATGGCACTAAAATGGTCCTTCCAACCCGCGTGTTGATGTTCACCACCCACTGGTGCCACCAAGTCTGTTGAACCGCCCCCACCCCCACGTTTTGGGGGGGACGGAACCCACGTCACCGGGAGGGGACAAGCGGGACAGACCCCATCTCCCTCTGTCTGTCCATCCAGGGCATCAAATCCATGGCTGGGGTGAGGTCCAAGTCCTCCAGGTTTCACCCCGGGGTGCTCAAACAGCCCTGAGGCCTCATCCACGGGCACGGGGGAGCCCCAAAGTCCAACCCCGCGGCGGTTTGGGGGTGACAGAGACCCCCCCTGGTCCACCCTCACGCCGTGTGAGCAGGGCCAGCACCCGCGGCCTCGGCACCGGGCCACGTTGCCAGCCCAGCTTCCGACGGCGGTGGCGGGCCCCGCGGTGGCCCCCGCGGGGGGGGCTGCCGCTCAAGGAGGGTGCGGTGGGAGAAACCCTTGGTGCAGAGACGGCACTGGAAGCGCTCGGGTCGATGGGTGCGCATGTGAACGTTGAGGGAGCTCTTCTGGGTGAAGCGTTTGCAGCAGACGCCGCACTGGAAGGCGCGGACGCCCGTGTGGGTCACCATGTGCTTCAGCAGGTAGTCGCGGAGGGAGAAGGAGCGCCAGCAGATGGAACACTGGTGGGGCTTCTCACCTACGGAGAGACAACGGGTGGGTCAGCTGGGATCAACACGGGCGTCCTGCTTTCGCCTGGGATGGAATCAATTTTCCTCCTCGTTGGATTTCGGACGAGAACAGCGTCGCTAACGCGCCGAGGGTTTGGTTCTTGCCGAGCAGTGCTCACGCTAAGTCGAGGACCACGCGGCCCCACCCAGCGAAGAGGCTGAGGGGGCACAAGGAGCTGCGAGGGGACACGGCCAGGTCAGCTGACCCCAAACTGACCAATGGGATGGTCCGGACCACACGACAGCCTATTAAACTGTCTTTACAAGTTTTACCTTTTTTTTCCAATTCTCTCCCCCGTCCCGCTGTGGGGAGGAGGGAGCGAGGGGCTGTGTGGTGTTTAGCCACCTGCCGGGTTCAACCACAACAAGGGGTCAACGCAGGCCAGCATGGGTCAATGTGGAGCAACAAAGGTTGACGGGGTCAACATGGAGCAACATGGGTTAGCAGGGGTCAACATGGATTGACGTGGATCAATACAGGTCAACATGGAGCAACACAGGTTGGCAGGGGTCAACATGGATCAACACAGACCAACATGGAGCAACATGGGCTGGCTGGGGTCAACGCAGGTCAACGTGGATCAACATGGCGCAACACGGGTTGACAGGGGTCAACATGGGTCAACATGGATCAATACAGGTCAACATGGAGCAACATGGGTTGACAGGGGTCAACATGGATGGACGTGGAACAATACAGGCCAACGTGGAGCACCACAGGTTGGCAGGGGTCAACATGGATCAATACAGGTCAACATGGAGCAACATGGGTTGGCAGGGGTCAACATGGATCAATATGGGTCAACATGGAGAAGCATGGGTTGGCAGGGGTCAACGTGAGTCAACATGGATCAACATGGAACAACACAGGTTGACAAAGGGCAACATGGATCAATACACGTCAACGTGGAGCAACATGGGTTGACGGGTCAACATGGATGGACGTGGCTCAATACAGGCCAAAGTGGAGCACCACAGGCTGGCAGGGGTCAACATGGATCAATACAGGTCACCATGGAGCAACATGGGTTGGCGGGGGTCAATATGAGTCAATATGGATCAACATGGAGCAACACAGGTTGACAAGGGTCAACATGGGTCAACATGGATCAATATAGGTCAACATGGAGCAACATGGGTTGGCAGGGGTCAACATGAGTCAACATGGATCACCACAGAGTGACGTGGGTCACCGGAGTGACACAGGTCACCAGGAGTGACGCAGGTGACCACTGATCACGTGGAGCAACACGTGTCAACATGGACCAACACAGAGCAACATGGGTCACCACAGAGTGACGTGGGTCACCGGAGTGACACAGGTCACCACTGATTACATGAGCAATGCATGTCAACATGGATGAACATAGAGCAACATGGGTCACCACGGAGTGACACAGGTCACCACTGATCACATGGAGCAACACGTGTCAACATGTATCAACACAGAGCAACATGGGTCTCCACAGAGTGACGTGGGTCACCGGAGTGACACAGGTCACCACTGATTACATGAGCAATGCATGTCAACATGGATGAACATAGAGCAACATGGGTCACCACGGAGTGACACAGGTCACCACTGATCACATGGAGCAACACGTGTCAACATGTATCAACACAGAGCAACATGGGTCTCCACAGAGTGACGTGGGTCACCGGAGTGACACAGGTCACCACTGATTACATGAGCAATGCATGTCAACATGGATGAACATAGAGCAACATGGGTCACCACGGAGTGACACAGGTCACCACTGATCACACGGAGCAACACGTGTCAACATGGACCAACACAGAGCAACATGGGTCACCACAGAGTGACGTGGGTCACCGGAGTGACACAGGTCACCACTGATCACACGGAGCAACACGTGTCAACATGGACCAACACAGAGCAACATGGGTCACCACAGAGTGATGTGGTCACTGGAGTGACACAGGTCACCACTGATTACATGAGCAACGCATGTCAACATGGATGAACACAGAGCAACATGGGTCACCACAGAATGACGTGGGTCACCGGAGTGACACAGGTGACCACTGATCACACGGAGCAACACGTGTCAACACAGATCAACGCAGAGCAACACATGTCAACACAGGCTGACACGGAGTAACACGGGTCTCCACAGATCAGCGTGGGTCCCTGTTACATCCCTGTCCCCATCCCTCCACGCC